ACACCTTCATCGAGCAGTTCCCAGTACTCTACGCCGTGTACGCTCCACCAAATACAGAGCATCACCTTTTTCGGGTGTGGACTGGGTTTGGGGACGTCGTTTGCGTCGGCATCTTTGTCGACCCATTGTGCACGGCGGTGAGAGTTAGAGTAGAGGACCCACTTCTCATCGCCAGTGATTATTTCGTCGAGCCAATGGTGGTGGCGCTTGAAGGTGAGCAACGAAAGTGCGACCTCGCACCGCCGATCCATGTCCCGCTGCGTCAGAGCATGGGGTACCCATCGACCGAGTTTCAGCACCTTGCCGATTGACTTCAAGCCGCGAACGACAGTAGTCTGACTCACCCCAAGAGCGGTCGCCATATCTCGAGTGGTTTGATACGGATCGGCTTCCACCTGTTTCCGCAGCGAGTCCAAATCCAGCTCCCTCGGGCGTCTCGCATGGTCTTCGTCTTCGATGGAATAGTTGCCCGACGCAAACTTCGAATGCCACAAGTAGACTGTACTTCTAGCGGGGGCATGCTCCTTGTAGACTTCCTTTAGGCGTCTGTCGATATCCGCGGGTTCTTGGCCAGATAGCGTTAGAAAGAGTATGACGTTGCGGAGGTGGTCTCTGGACGGCTTGAAATCGTGCGGCATGGTAGCGGAATGAAACTAGTTTGAAGCGTTTGTTTGATTGCATTTTGAAGAGCTTTTCATATTCTTTCCAACGGTATCTCGCGCATCCATTTTCGTTCACTCGTTGCTGAGTTATGATCTCGGGGAAATCAATACTACCATTTGTCCGATTCATATCGACTCAACCTAATACCATCCGCGTTAGATGCTGCCAGAGGGTCTGTTCAGAGGGTTGAACTACTCTCGCAACAAACTCCTGGACAAATCTACACTTGGAGACAAATTTTGGTAGAAATTCAGCTTGAGTTTTCAAAAATTGAGCAGTACATGGTGAGCAGGTGCCGACAAAAGAATTTGGACGGCCTCCTAATACGCGTCATTAAGGTTTGGAAAAGTTTACCTAGAGAATCGTAGTTGACCAGTACAATACGTAGACCAGTGTGCTGCATAGAACATCACGACCGACACAATCGAAACGAACATCACAGCATTTGTCATGTGTCCCAACGACATGGCGTAACAAATATTCAGTGTAACAAACACTGTAAAGAAGTTGCTCAGTATGACGTACTGTGGAGAAGCATAGTAACACCACTTATCGAAAAATACTCCCTGTGAAGGATGCGCCATGTATTTGCATTTGTAATGGGAAATGTCAGGACGGAAGTGGCCCAGTGCCAAGGGGTGTCTGAGAACGCGATATAGCGTTCTCACGCGCAGCAAGAGTCCTGGTTGGTGGCGCCCGACGTACCCATGGGAGGACCCCCACACAGGTTTCAGCGCTAGTTGTGCGCTACACAGCGTGGGATCATACACTCTAGTTCGCTGCGGACGGTTGGGCGTGTCAGGCAGTATGAGTGTGTCACCCCGTCAAAGCCGTTCTCTGCCTTCTTGTTGAAGCGCGCATGCGACAAAAAGTTAGAAAACGAGTAATACGAAGGATATGATACAGCCGTGTTGTAGTAAAGTAGATTTGGGGGAACTTAAATCTAAAATTAAAAGAAAAAATAAAAACACGCTATAAGAATAATAAACTCATTTGCTCGCTTTAACAACTGGTGGAGAACGGGTTTGGCACCGCGCCAAACTCATCCCGCCTGACACGCCCAACCGTCCGCAGCGAACTACACTATATTTGATCGCTGGAGAAAAAGGGACGGTATTTTTTTAGTTTTTCCCGTTTTACGCGCTCACTCCCTAAGTTGATGACGCCGCAACACTTCTATTTGTTGCATTGGGTCGGAGCTGGACCCCCCCCCCTCCTTTCGCTCAGGACGCCAAATTTCATAGGAAAAACTAGGAAGATGGAAGCTAGGATGAGAAAGGGAGTCATGAAGTTCTAGCACGTCCAGCACAGAGTGTCCAGTACCAAGCGGCGCCGATTGTTAGCGCATTCCCCAGGTCATATGTCGAACCAGGTCCCATCTAGGCGAAACAGGCCTACCCCTAAAACTTGGTTAATTGAGACCAGGCTCGTCTGCTGCAACACACTGGCTCACTCACAGGAGAGCGTCGTATGTCATTGAAAAGGCCGAGTCGCATTCGAAAGGACATTTGAAGGATAGGAGCACGATGGTTGGGGGCGAGCGCTTATTGCCCGCTCACTGGGAAGGGTTAAGTGGGGGGGGGGGTTGGCCAAACGTCTTCTCGCAGTCCTTCAATGACGCTGGCAAGAGAACGGCTACTGCTGAAGCAACAGCCTCCAACAGTAGTACCCTTTACCGTACCCAACAGAATAGCTTGCTCATTCCGAGCAAGCTAACAGTGGAGGCCAAACTCTTTATACACTTTTTGAAGAGAACATTTAATTTTTTTCTGCAAAACAGCTGCAGTTCCATAAACGTGAAACACAAATGAAAGTCACCTTGAGTCATGCTATCACATCCGTGATCGAACAATTCGCCTAGTGGACTGCTCGAACCAGTTCGTCGAGCTTGTTTGCCATCAATGGCATCTAGCGTTTGATAAAGAAATAGTCCTAGAGCTGCTTGGGCATAGGCCCACGAGGGAGCCTGAATAAACAACCTTTTTATAGAACAGAATCAAACTATCAGAACTAATTTTGATCAACTACAGTTGCTGGCGTCAACTAGAGAAGGCGGAGCGTGGCCGCGGTGAAGTAAGTGGGTGTACCTTGACCCGTTATGCGGTCCAGGGACATCTAGAACTCGATTCCCTATCGCGTCAATTTTTTGTTTTTCTCCGCGTTCTCTATCTGCATGACGTTCCACGTTGTGTGGGCGATCACTGTGTGTCCACACAGTCCCACTTTTCAAGCCCAATAAGTGGCTTACCCACCCAGGTGTCCCTTCCCTTGAAGAACACCACCCCGCGGTTCGCTACATCTTTTTTTGGACTTCACGATTTCTTCCAGCCGCAGCCTTCCACCTGTCTGCATACAAGATTTCGCAACAGGACAATACAAAGTTCAAGTTGACACGTAACCCCCACATTGCACGGGAACCGGGTTCAAGTTCGAGCGAGGCGAAGTGTTTCCTTTTCATTGCTCATCAGTCTAACGATCAAAATATTCACAGAAATAGCTGAAATCTGTGTCAGGTTCTGAGTAGAGGGCGTGGCGTGCGCAAGGACCTTGTTAGATTGGCGGATTGTCAGGTAGAGCCAATCAAAGATAAGGATTTCGCAAGTTCTCAATTCCCTTAAAACAAGCTCAGGCAGGGAGCGCTCAGGCTTTGTCCTTTAGTTTCCTGTGCAAACGTGAAAGTTCGAAGAAAAAAGGCTCACCGGCTCAGTAGCCGAATAGGAAAACGATGATAAAACTAGAACCGTTATTAAGTTGATAATGAGACCAATAAGAGTAATCAAATTTGGAGCTAACCACATTGGGCACCACGTTACGACATATTCCCACCACCTGAAATCAATCAATCAATCACACTTTGAAAATTTATTCCCTAAGTACTACTACCTTTTCATGCACAACTCATCAAGCCAGCTGTTGTCGACCGCAGAATACTTGTGTTCTCCAAGGCGTTTCAATTCATGTTCAGTTGCTAAGGAATCCGTCTGAAAGTCAAATTTTCAATTTAGTTCGAGTTTGTTGGAAAGAAACTTCTTCAGAACAGAAAGATAAACTGTAGTTTCAAGAACAAGGGTAGCTGGAGGCAAGGCAGATTGTCACTGACGACTCATTGACAACGTTGAGCCATCTTTGGCCCAGCGAAAATCCTTTTCGTTGTTGGAATTTTCACCTTACGGGCGCTATATACGCGGGTAAAGCTCAGCACATCCCTGCATCGATAAGAGCGGTAAAAAGAGGCGCTCCAGGTGGCGCCACGTACGCGACATTCGCACCGAGACTACGTCAAGTCAACCAAGAGAAAATGCTATTCGTTTGCGCGCGAAGCAGGGGCTAGGATCCCTTGGACTGCACCCCTGTATACGGCAAAAGCTTCGGTCAGTGCCGGTGGCTTCCTAATTTTTCTATAGATGGTGGTTGATTTCCGTCTACCCGTCTACCCTGTATGCCCCCCCCCGCACCACTCCCTCCTGCTGGGAGGAGATGGAGGGTTCTGTTTCGAGGGATCCCTCATAGGGAGGATGTTTCTTGGTCACTTCTACTTTCTCCGTCCCCGCCCTCTGAGGCTTAGGCAGATCGGGGAAAATCACTAAACCCACAGGATCGTTAAGGGATCAGACAAGCTGAAAAGGGTGCGAACAAGTCTCGCTGACAAACCTTCAACTGAGTTTACCCCATATTTTACTTCAATGTTCTGCCTGTAACACCCATACTACTGAGAGTAAACGAGATTTAGTACTGCATTGCGCGCTAATTCCAGCAGATGAGGGAGGGGGCGTATCTGCTTCGAACTACCATGTTGCGTTGACTCCGGTTATCTGCACTCTGCTAAGGACCCCGGGAACGGAAGCAACTTCGACGCTTGGCCGTGTACTCTGCTCTGCCGCCGCCGGGACGGCGCGTGTTGGGCTCAATGAACATTGCCGTTCGTCAAGGGGAGGCGCTTGAGACCTAGGGGCCCGTGGTCGAAAAAAAACAATTCTTCCCAGTGAGTAGTATTCCACGAACTAGCAGAATTGAAAACGAAGTAGGAAATTAAGTTGAATCTTATAGCTCATGGATGAGAGCCACAGAATCAGAGCATAGCACCCACATGGAAAACTGCGGGTTTAACGCCGATGGTTACGAGGAATCTGTACGAGGAGAGATGATGGGATATCCGTTAAACGGCCAGCAGTTTCATCCGCAAACAACTGAAATACTCTACCATAGAGATGCGTTTCCTGGATTACTAAGCAGTACCCTATCGGACATACTTGTAACACGACTTTTCACAGGTATATTGTGGGGATTTTCCCGGAATTAGTGTATGGGTCAGACTCAGGGCATATCTATTGGGATTCTCCAATAGGGTGTCCGATGGTCCTGGGTTCAGGGAGTAATTTTCCGTAGCGTGTGGGTTATTCCTTATTTAGCATGTTGCTGCATACCCACGCCCTCGCTCAGCTGCAATGAGTAGGGTAGGGATGTACCAAAGCTTGTCCTCTCACAGGAAAAGGGGGAGATCGTGAGGACCCGACCAAGTCTATTTCTCATTTATGCATGTGCGCTGTCTCACCGACATATTCTTATACACGTTGAAACGAGATGGACAGTAATGAACATGAAAATAATAAAAATCATCAATGATAACAGAAGTAAATGGTAAAAACCAAGGAAAATGGAACGAATAAAGTATTCAGAAGAAATAACTCACTTCCACATACCACCACCAAAGACTCAGTAGCCGCGATCCAGGGCGGGCGCCCATCTGAAAAAGCATTTTTTAAGCCAGAAAGTTAGCGGGATTTTCCAGTAGCACAGTAGGTGAAAGAACATTGCAATGAATGCAGACATGTTTTTAGACAACGGCAAAAACACTTGCACAGCCACGAAAAATCGATTGCACGATGACTCAGTGATTAATGAAAGGGCAGTAGTCCCGATAATTTCTGGGGCTAATTCTCACTAAAGTAGCGACACCGTTTTCACAAATAAAGAAAATAATAGGTGAAGAGAAAAAGGGAAATAGTCGCAGAGGTGAAACTCTGCGCTTATTTGCTGATGCGGCTGATGTTTTTCCTATTCGCCCGCTCTCGTGAGGGCGATCTGTGGTTATTTATGTTTTCCAAGGGAGGAGCCAAAAAAAGATCATTCTCATGGCGCCCACCACCAGGTTAAAAACGCAGGGCAATAAGGCACATAGAAGGTTAAAGGTGAAATAATCATGAGTGCAGCTCTATGAGAAGCAGGGCAGATCATTCGTTGGGAGAATTTCCCATCAGTAGGTCGTACCTGGTCACTTGGAGGGCGTCGTAGTAGACGGAGGAAATCGTGGGGAGGAAAGGAGGATGACTGAAACAGACAGTGTCACAAATCAGGGATACTATACCCTTGATAAGCAGGAGGATACGCCTCTACAGTTGCCTCTCTTCGTTGTCACACTTTTCCCCCAGGCCCCATTAGCTGGACAGAATCATCTAACGTTGGTAATACTCTCCAGCTATGAACGACTTTTCCAGGTCGCCTGGAAGGATCGGGGCAGGACACGTCAGCGCTGGGGCAAATTTTTGAAAATAGACCTCACCTCTCCAATGTTTTGCCCTCATGTTATGATTTCACGCCCATCATTACACTATGGCTTCAACTAGTCCCAATGCGGCAAATTTCTTTCCGGAGCCTGTATGACCTCCCTCTTCCAACGATGAGCAAATACGCCCCCTCCTACAGGGATTCCCCCAAGAAGTAAATAAATAGTAAACGCCCGAGAAACAGAAAATTTCACTATGGAAATCTTTTCTCGCACCAATGAGGACTCCTCTCTCCCTCTAGTGACCCATCACACACGACTCTTACCCTCATGGCCCCCGCCTGGGATTCCCGAACGTAGGACGTGCTCTGGATCAGGGTCGTGTTTGCCTTCGAGAAAAATATCCATGATTGTTGACTTTATTCGGTTCCGGTTTCGGTTGCACAATGTATATATCCCACCACTCCTCCCCTGCCCCCTACCACTCGCCGAGAGCAGCTTCTTGCGGAGTAAGTGCAGGAAGAACCATAAAAACTAGTAGTGGGGTGGGGATTAGGGAAAGAGGAAATGAAGTTTGCAACAGAAGGAGGTTTTGAGGGGAGGGGTCGTATTTTGCGAAAAATATCACCAACGGCAGCACCTGCCTTGCACTGTGCCTGTTTGGGAAAGCTGGGCAGTTTCACGGGTGACATAGCCGTAGGCAGGCTTCTGGACAGCAGTTTTCTGTGGCAAGAGGAGACACCAGCACATCTACAATGACCTGAGTGAACAACCGCTTCTAGCGCTGCCTTGAAAGCGAAACTAGAGGATGTTTTCTAGACGCAAGGAGATCGCTGTTTTACCGGTAGCTCACCAAAGGCAGATCCTAAACAGGCACCTCATACGTTGGGGAATCCCCAGTGGGGAGGGTCGTATTCGGTCTGAAAGGAGGGGGGTCGTACGTCTTGGTAACTGGTCACAACCTCCTCCTCCCAGAGAATTTTTGGGAGTTTCATTAAGAATGTTTGGAAGCTTGGAAAAGTTGGCACGACAGTGAGCAGGGTGCGAAGGAGGGGGCCGGGGGGAGGGGGGGCAGGGAAGCTCGTGGGTCGTAGGCGGATGGACAAAATGGGGGGGGGAGGCAGGAGAAATGAGGGAGTCGCTATTTCACCACAGCATTTCCCAGCGGACAGGACGTTTCCCTTTTTCTAAAAGCGCACAAACCTTCATCACATAGAAGGATGGAATACTCACTTGAGGTAGAGGGGGGTTGAACCCATCGCGAGAAACACAGGACATCAATAGCTTAAGAATAGTGAAGTATCTTATACAAAGCAAATTGTTGCTAGCAACGTCGGATTTCGAACTGAGAGAACTCAGAAACACGCGAAACGATTTAAAAACGAAAAATGCCGATGACCGCCAGAGAAGGTCAGTAATGCAGGCTTTGGTCAACAGATGGGGAGATTAACTGCCTTTGAAAACGCAGTCCATGGTGCGCTACAGCGATCGTACATTTGTTATTAGAGTTGATCAAGATCCTATGATTTAATGATTCAATTATTAATGAAGATGCTGATTACAACAAATGATAAAAACTTCAGCAGTATAAAGTTTTCGGCGTTGACATTTTAAGTGTGCTTCCCGTAGAAGGTCATCGTTCATCTGTTCTTAGCTTTCAACTCCGAGTAAATTCGTTCCAGAGTAGTGTACCACGAGTGGGACTCGATCGGCCCAAACAGTTACTTAGGAGGTATTCTCCGATATTGATAATCCACTGTTTTTATCCGCCTGCAATCGCAAGTCACCCCTCCCAAACCTTCTTTCAAAGGCAGTTGGCACGATAAATCCCCAAGACGAGTAGTGAATACACCTGGCAGGAAGGAATTCCCCGCCTCTGAGCAAGCCCTGCGTAGCACCTTTACTGAGCAAGGTAACCTTGTAAGGCTCCATCAGGCTGTACTATACCGACGACCCAGACGCCCAACGCGCCCGCCCGCCCACAAATGGACGACCGTTCCTGACGCTTGTATTCATTCATTTGCTGCAAATTATGAAGCGAAAGGATTGGTATGAAGCTGCCGTGATGCTGCATGGATATATGAGTACAGATATGCAGCCGTACCTTCGGTAGCGATTACTGGCTATATGCCTGCGGGCAACTCGTCCGAAACGCTTTTGAGCCACTAAAAACGGAGGCTCATCTTCGCAGGTTTTTGGCCGTTTCACTTCGTTTTTCCGCCATTTTCCCACTAAAACACCCTGCTAGCACTTTAGACCGAGTACCAAATTACCGTGCCATATGCTTTCAAGCCACAAACACTCTATGGTTGGAGTGGCCACATTGGAGAATTTTTTGTGAAAGTGTCACGACACTTTCGCAAAAAATTCGCGTGACATTCTATCTCAGCATATCAAACTACCTTGGTTACTAGTTCCTGACAAATCTGATGGCCTTATTCTTTCACGTGTCAACCAGCCTGTATGACAAAAGCGAGTAGAGAAACCTTGACAACTACATCCAAAGAACCATTCCGCAAATGCAGAAGGCGGATTTGACGATCTTTCAAGATGCCCGACTGACAAATAGCGAAATCGACCTGTTAGTGTTCCCGTGTCAGACGGTTCCTAGGTCTTCTATAGTCGACCGACATCGGAAGGATGGAAGGCTTGATTGACTTGGACGGAAACCGATCACTGGATCCTTGTGTGTCGTTCGTGCTTTGAAAGCGGCAACTGTCCATATAACTCACTATTGACAAAGATAGATGAACTAATGCTCTCTTCCCACAAAAACTTGAAAGTGCCAACTTTAGGCAAAGGACTATCAGTTTATCGGCTGATCTTCATCTTCAATCTTTGCGCACGGGGTACAGTGAGGGTAACGCTAAACCCGTCTGAAGTCTGAATAATAGCTCTATTCAATACCGCGCATATCGACACGTGTTGCTCCTCCACCCCCACCTACATAACAAAGACGAACATGTTGCGGCGAATCCCCCTCAACCTCCCTTGACGTTGACGTGGCGGTTCTCCTTGAACCCTTGCAAAGAGATGCATTTGCTGAGGCTAATCAGCTACTAAAGCTTGTCGTCCTGCCCACAGCCAAAAACCGTAATCGTCTCAGAAGTACAATTCTAAGTGCAAGGGTGCAGGACCGCTACTGCAAAGATTGAGAAATTTATCAGAAAAACTCTCTCGAGGCGAAATACAAGCCGCTCGTCAGGTGACCATATACAATTCTCCAGTGGGTTTCGCACAAAGATGATATCTGCTGCCTCAAACCACGTTAACGTTGAAACGTTAGCGCCGAAAACTGTCACATACGAAAAAATTCGGAAATAAAAAAGTTCTGTTAAATAGTAGCGTTTCAAAGGTTTGTCGACTAGTGGCTTATTAGAATAAATAGGAAAAAAATGAAAGAAATAAAGAAAAAAGCGGAAATGGACATAGAAATGAACAAAAAGTAAGCTCTCAAAAACAGAGGAAATAGCATGGCACGGTCTGGCTATGATTTCGACACTGAGGCATCAAGAACCTTAGCGCTATGTGCCCTTTTGTCCCAGACATTACACATCATTATTGTGGAGTGCTTAGAGAGCGTGTCGTATATGAGCCACCGAGGAGGATGTGAGAAATTGTACTAGACTTGCGGGGAAAGTCCTAGAATGTACTTATTGAAATAACATGGTAACTTACTGAAAGCAAGAGTGGCCCCGGTGGCGTAACGTCAGGCGCATTTGCCCGAAAATCGTGAGGCGCGTTCACGGGGTTTGAGTCCCACCTGGGGTTAGACTTTTGCCCATAATTCAGCATATGTAATTATCGAAGCGCGAACTGCGGCGTAAAACGGCAGTTATGATCATGAAATAGCGAACAGATTTTTTTTACTGTTTCTGGGGTATGTTCACCTTTGAGGTCCACATGCTTTTGGAAAATGGAGGTGACAGGTGAAGGAAAACGGAAGAGGAGGAGTGTTGAAGAAGTCTTAGGTCGAAAGGAGGTCGCACCAAAACCAGTGGTGTAGCGGGTGGTCATGATCGACTTCCCCAGTCACCATTATGCATCCTAGTTGCAAATTAATAAGACTGAAGATCAGTTAAGGAACAGAACAGGAGTGTACAAAAGAATAGGAAGAAAGAAGAGACAAAAGAAGAGGAGAGCATGAGCATCAACTGATTGACGACCAGAATAAAAGAGAGTGACTGAATGACGTAAAACGTAGAGTAAATAAGAAATCTATTGCAGCAACAGTGCATGTG